CTCAACAAATAAGTATCTAACCTTTGTAACATAAACTTTAAAAATAAACCTGCCATCTAAGATGTTAAGTCTATGCTTGATAACACACACATAAATATAATCGTAATTCACCGTCTGCTGCCAGTTGAGGGAATGTAGTTACTCCAAATGAAACAGAATAAAATAAAGAAATAAAACGCATAATTATCAAGCCACTGGTAATGATAAGTTAAACCAAAATTTAGAATTTTGGCCGGCCTCTCCCATAGAGTTTAAAAAGATGTTTAGGTTAAAAATTACTAGCGTTAAACAAACTGACTGCAGAAAGTGAATGATAGTTTTAAATTTGAGACAAGGTGGATTTGACCACCTGTATGCCTGCTCCTCAGTTTTAATTTTATTTTTTATTCTTCTTCCACACGCGAGTATTGCGAATAGAGGTTGGATATGAGAGACTGTATTTTTACGTCTACAGATACCTAAACCCATATTTTTATTGTTCCTTTTACCAGTCTGTCTTTTACGTGCGTCGCCTTTTGATGTTTGAAAAATGTTTACTGTCAAAGAGGCTAACATTCGCGGGAAAATGTTGCATGTTTCCACCACGCACGCAATTCCAACATGGCCAAGTTTGACACCAGGAAACTCGTGAAAAACACAGAAAAATCGAAAACTGTCTATATATATATCTCTGTTTGAAACCTGCAAGAAGGTATCTTTCTTTCAACCAAATGCCTTTTTAAGATGGTTGATATACACACGAATAGTTCACGAAAACCCCACAGTGTGCTTTCCTCGCTGAAAGATTCAGCAAAAGAACCTGTGGAAAAAAAGTACCTTTGAACTAAATCTCATGTCACTTGGTCGAAATATGGCAAAGAAATGGACCAAAACCTCTAAACTGATGTTTTTGTGACCTTTGACACCTCTACAATGATCATAGATGGGCATATTTGACATTCTTTGTATGTATATGTATGGGTTCTATAAAAAAAGTATCTTTGTACCAATTACGGCGGGGTAATTGTCAAAAAACCCTAAAATTATGCCTTTTATGGCATTTTCACCTTCCTATGGTTACTAAAAATGGTCAAATCCAATATTTTTATTTGTCAATGTGTGTTGTTTGTAGAAAAGCACCTTTGTTCCAAATTCCATAAAAAATGGTCGAAACAAGGCTAAGTAATTGATCAGAACCCTTAAAATCATGGGTTTATTTAATTTTTTAGATTCCTCTAAAACGACCAAAAAATGGGCATATTCGACATTTTTGTCTGTATATAAATGGGTCTTGTAAAAAGGTATCTTTACTAAATCCCATGTAAATTGGCTCAAAAGCGGCGGAGTAATTGTAAAAAAAAAAAAAACACACCTAAAATTATGCTTTTTGTGGCATCTATAATTACTTAAAATAGGCAAGTGAACTATATTTGTCTATCAATGTGTGGGACCTACAGAAAAGTATCTTTGTACCAAATCCTATGTAAACTGGTCAAAATATGGCCGAGTAATTGACCAAAACCTAACCCTTTAAAAAGACTCAAAATGGGCAAATCCAACTTTTTTTTATATGTCAGTGCGTTAGGCACGTGGAAATTTATATTTGTGTCAATTTTCATCTGGATTGTTCTGCACAGGAGCCCAAAATATATATTTTTGGGTTATTTGACGCTTGACCCCACGAAGTCCTCAAAAAGATCTAAATCCACAAAATGAAATGGGCTTCTGAGCGTATTGAACGAAGATAACCTACTAAGTTTGGAAGAAGAAACGATAGAAAAACAGTATGTCACTCTACGGAAATATAAATATCGTCAGACTTAAGGAAATGTTTTTCGTTATCCTCTCTCATTCCTTTTGATATTAAAAATAACATTACTCTTGTGCAATCTCTATAGATATATACGTGTGTGTCCACATAGAAACATTTCACTTAAGTTGCAAGTATGTCCCGTTTTCGATATTATCATACCACGTGTACATAGGAAACTTGATTTCAAAACCTGGATTTTAGAAGCCTTGTTATGCAGCGAAATGACGCTGTGGTTTTGTAAAATTAAAAAAAATTTTTTTTTTGTTTTGTTTTGTAACGTATCAAGGAATTGTTTAATTACACAGGTCTGCGATGGTTTTATTGTCTTGACAATTTTATATTTTCGACACTGATTCCTGTACGCTGAATCCGGAAATGATATCCATTTTTTCTCCATCACGTGCAGATTTTTCGTGACGCAATAAAAGAATGACCACAACACGTAGTTTTGAGACTAAAAGACGTAGATTTCACACACAAAAATCAGGATGAATGAGGATGCATATTTATTTGACATCAATGTTCTTTCCTTTACTTCAGTTTGTTTGATTTTTGTTGACAAATATAATAATAAAATTGTGGCAAACGAAATAATATTTTGATCTAGTTAAGTAGTTTTTTTTCTTCCCGATTTATAAAACAATTCTTACGTGATAGAAAAAAATAATATTATTTTCGAAATCTACGTAATTGAATTATGGAAAATCCGTTATTAAAACCAAAAGAACTTTTATGAAGTTTAAATTCACAGGTCTGTGTTACTGGTAAGTACGTGTTACAAGAGGCCCGGCATGGCCACGTGGTCAGGGTGCTCGACTCGCAATCTTTGGGTCGCGGGTTCGAATCCCCGTCACACCAAACATGCTCGCCCTTTCAGCCGTGGGGGCATTATAATGTGACGGTCAATCCCACTATTCGTTTGTAAAAGAGTAGCCCAAGAGTTGGTGGTGGGTGTTGATGACTAGCTGCTTTCCCTCTAATCTTACACTGCTAAAGTAGGGCCGGCTAACGCAGACAGCTCTCGTGTAGCTTTGCGCGAAATCCATAAACAAACGTGTTACACGTTTTTCTGACAGATATCTTGTAGTTGTGCTTTAATGATGTGTATATTTCATTAGGTTAATATTTTTGTGTGTGGAAAGGAAGGATGAGAAAGGTAGACAAATCTGCTTGTTTAAAATTTCTACAAATTGAAAAGAATTTAAAAACAGTTATTGCGTGATCTCAAGCCCTCAAGTACTGTTTTGACTTGCTTAATACACTATCGTGATGTCGGCTTCACAAATATTAAGAATAATTTGGGTACCGTGTAAGGTGAATGTTATGAAGTTTTGTATTGTTTGTAATTAAGTACAAAGCTACACAATGGACTATCTGTGCTCTACCAACCACGGGTATCGAAACCCGGATTCTAGCGTTGTAAATCTGCAGACATACCGCTGTGCCACTGGGGGGGGGGCGAATGTTATGAAGTTTTATTTTGTTTGTAATTAAGCACAATGCTACACAATGGGCTATCTGTGCTCTGCCAACCACGGGTATCGAAACCCGGATTCTAGCGTTGTAAATCTGCAGACATACCGCTGTGCCACTGGTGGGGGCGAATGT